AAAATAAAACTGCCTAACAGTGTGCAAAGTGCTACAAACTACTAGCAAAAAGAAAAATAAAGCTGGAAACAGCGGCATCAATGTCCTCAGGAACGGAAATGAGAAGCACTCCTCATCCTCTTCTGCGGGACAACCTCTGCGCCATCATCATCATCTGGGTCGGAGCTGTCATCCTCAAGATCCCCCTCAGCCTCACCTCTGTCCCCCGAACCAAAACCGGAGCCCCCCTCCTCAGCAGATGTTTCTGATTGACGGTCAGTAGCCTCCTCCTCCTCCTCAGCATCCTCCTCCTCCTCATCAGGCTCCACCTCTACAACGTGAGTCCTGCGTCTACGGACAGACCCTCCCCGAGCTCCTCGAAAAGGTCTAGATGGCCCGGCTCCTCGGGAAGGCCGGGATGGCCCCGCCTCCTGAAAAGGCCCGGGTGACCCAACTCCCTGAAAAGGCCCAGATGGCCCAGCTCCCCAAGGAGGCCCAGGTGGCCTGGCCTGCGGCTGACCGGACCATGAAGGCATCTGAAAACAAAGAGTTCAATTCAAATACATCAGTCCAAATATATACATCAGATGCAGATACAAGCAAAGGCTACGTGAAGTGGGTGCATGTAGATGCAGTGTCCTAGTGGGGTGTGTGTCAGATGTGCTCTACACAAGTAGTCTATCGATGTAGTAGAAATCAGCATGTCATCAGAAGTATGATAAATGCCAGAAAACTGAAGGGTACCTGAATGCCCGCGACAGACAACTGTTCCTCCCTACGCAGGACCATGCCCTCGAGTGTGGCCACCAGTCCAACCACCTCCTCCATGTACCCTATGCCTGCGACAGACAACTGTGCCTCCCTCCGCAGGACCATGCCCTTGAGTGTGGCCACCAGTCCAACCACCTCCTCCATGTACCGTCGCGGTGGCTGCAAAAATGAGCTCATAATTATCAGTGAATAAAAGAATGTCTAAACATCTGAATGATGAATGAAAAATAGTGGAGCATACCAGCGGTGAGTCAGGATCAATGGCGTATCGATCACTGGGCATCGGAGGCTCTAGCGGGATCGGAGTCGGGGAAATAGCCCCATACTGCCACGCCATCAACTCAGTTGGCATATCTGGCCATCTAGGATGGGGATAAGTCGACGGAATCGGAGGAACCGGTCTGAAGAAGGGACGTCTGTAGCTCGAGCCCGAGCCTGGTCCGAGGATGATGTACCGGTAGGCCTCATCATCGGGATACGAGCTTCCGTCAATGGAGGCATCAAGTATATGTGACGGTAAGTGGCGTAGTCCCCCTCCTCAACATGTAATAATGCATCGCTGCCCAAGTATCGATCACTGGGCATCGGAGGCTCTAGCGGGATCGGGGTCGGAGAGATAGCCCCATACTGCCACGCCATCAACTCAGTTGGCATATCTGGCCATCCAGGATGAGGATAAGTCGACGGAATCGGAGGAACCGGTCTACCCCCACCTCTAGATGTACCAGCCCTACTAGTAGAATGGGCGTCTGCAGCCCGAGCTCGGGCCTGGCCCGAGGATGACATACCGGCAGGCCTCGTCATCGGGGTGCGAGCTCCCATCAATGGAGGCATCAAATATGTGTGACGGTAAGTGGCGTAGTCCCCCTCCTCAAGATATAGTAAAGCATCGCTACCCAGCACAGCGCCGACTACCTCCGAGTAAGAGAGCCTGTCAGCAGTCCGCATACTGACTGGGGGTACTGCGGGAGGATCCTGAGAAAGATACCCCCATACCTAGCGCAGAAAGCGTTCCCCCAGAAGCCATGCCCTGCCAACCGGCCCTTCGAGCAGGACCCTATACTGGGAGGTGTCCGACCCTCCGGTATACTGAAGTCGGATACCATCACCCAGGGGCGCCCAGGGCTGCCATGTGATCTGCGGATAATAAAAGCATAAACCAATCAGAAATCGGGAATGTACAGAGCAAATCAAAGATGAAAATGAAAGGAACTGAAAGTTCTGAAGTACCTCCGAATGCCGCACAGTGTCAAAGTACTGTCGCAGGTAAATGAGAGTCTCTCGGGGTCTCGGCCGGTGCGGGCCCTCGAACACTAGTGAATATGGGGTCATGGGGGGCCCTACCACCTGCCACCTCCAACTCTGGGGCTAATGCTGGGAAGTATACATAGACCCATAGTTGAGAAAAGCAGTGCAGAATGTAAGTACGAAATGCTGAGAGCAAAATACAGACTGTAAAAGTGCGCTGTGTGCGCAATGTACAAGTAATGAGGAGCAGAAATGTAAATCAAGGGGACAGAAAAGTACCTCCCAGGCTCTCCAGTAGCCGCCAAGTAAATCTCCCCGCCCGCGGGAGGTCGCGCTCATATAAAAGTAAAGGGTAGCCAGGCCGGCGCCACCCCAGTCATATCGATGGACCTGTGATAGGTCAACCAGAGCACTCAGCAGGTATAGCCCGACGGTGTTCCCTCTGTCGGCGAACAGGGTAGTCCCGAAGAGGAACATAAGGAAACCACGAGGGGCGAGCCCCCAATAGATACATCCAGGCGGCCTCCCACTCGCCCATATCCTCATCGTAGGGGATGGACCAACCTCCGACGTCAAGGCCGGTCAATACAGCGAAGTCAAAAGGGGTCATGGTCATGTCCCCGGTAGCAGAGAAATGAAAGGAGTTGGTGGTGTCCCACCATCTCTCTACCAAGGCTGCCATCAGTGTCCTCCTGGCAGGACAACGTGACAACCCGACGCAGAAAGGCCCGAATCCTACCAGATCTACCAAATCCCGGACACCTTCCGGGAGCTCGGCGTACCAGTCCCGCGCGATGGTGGAACCATACCCCCGCACACTGCGGGAACCAACCTGCATTCAGAATGAATACATATGTCAATAATGAAAAGAAGTGGGCTGTACGCCAATGAAATGAAATGGGCTGTGTGCCAATGAAATGAAATGGGCTGTGCGCCAATGAAAAGAAATGGGCTGTGTACCAATGAAATGAAATGGGCTGTGCGCCAATGAAAAGAAATGGGCTGTGTGCCAATGAAATGAAATGGGCTGTACGCCAATGAAATGAAATGGGCTGTGTGTTCAGAAATTTTGAAGTTTGGGCTGCGTGTTCAAGTCTCAACTAGTGTGGGCTGCGTGTTCACTATCTATCTGGGCTGCGTGTTCGGAAAATTTGAAGTTTGGGCTGCGTGTTCAACTTTCAGTTAAATTGTGGGCTGCGTGTTCAAGTCTCAACTAGTGTGGGTTGCGTGTTCACTATTTATCTGGGTTGCGTGTTCGGAAAATTTGAAGTTTGGGCTGCGTGTTCAACTTTCAGTTAAATTGTGGGCTGCGTGTTCACTATCTATCTGGGCTGCGTGTTCGAAAAATTTGAAGTTTGGGCTGCGTGTTCAACTTTCAGTTAAATTGTGGGCTGCGTGTTCACTATCTATCTGGGCTGCGTGTTCAGAAAATTTGAAGTTTGGGCTGCGTGTTCAACTTTCAGTTAAATTGTGGGCTGCGTGTTCACTAATTAATCTGGACTGCGTGTTCAGGAAATTTGAAGTTCGGACTGTGTGTTCAACTTTCAGTTAAATTGTGGGCTGCGTGTTCACTATCTATCTGGGCTGCGTGTTCAGAAAATTTAAAGTTTGGGCTGCGTGTTCAAATTTCAACTAGTGTGGGCTGCGTGTTCACTATCTAATCTGGGCTGCGTGTTCAGAAAATTTAAAGTGTGGGCTGTGTGTTCACTTTCGAATTCGGGCTGTGTGTTCGACAAATCAGTGTTTGAGCCGTGTGTTCTAATGTGGGCTGTGTGTTCGCAATTAATTAATGAGCCGAGTGTTCAGAAATTCAAATGTTGAAATTACATGTTCAAGATGCAAGCAAAGTACTATGTCATAAGCTAAACTGCGTGTTCAAGCTTGGCAAAGGTGTGAAATCTAGGAAAAATACAGAAAATGAAGTAAATACCTCTCGGGCCTCATGAGAGAGTTGGTGCTCCGGCTCTCGTAGAAGCAGATCAACGGGTGCTCGTTCGTCGAAGCTAGTAAAATGGCGAAAGACAGCACGAGGGAGGACATGTGCTGGCGGACGATACCTCCCGGGAATAAAAGGTCGGGACCTCGGGGGTAGGGTCATAGGATCGAAATCATCGCCGGCACCTGGAAAACCTCTGCCGTGGGGAGAATTGCCCGCCATTTGATATCCTCCTTCTTGACCCTCAACTGATGGTAACCCGATCTCAAGTCTATCTTAGAGAAACAACGGGATCCTTTCAACTAATCAAACATATCATCTATACGAGGCATAGGGTATTTATTCTTAACCGTAGCCCGGTTCAATTTTCGATAATCTATGAAAAGTCTCAAAGCCCCATCTTTCTTCTTAGCAAAGAGGGTCGGTGCTCCCCAAGGTGAAGTACTAGGGCGGATAAAACCCTTATCTAGTAACTCTTGGAGTTGAATCTTTAACTCACTCAACTCGGCTGGGGCAAAATGATACAGTGCCATAGAAATCGGTGTCGTGCCAGGCACTAAATCAATAGAGAACTTAATCTCTCGATGGGGTGGTAAACTAATAAGACCCTCGGGAAAGATGTCCGAGTACTCACAAACCACCCTTGGTAGTTTAGCCCGGTCTCATCACACTCACTACTCGTAAAGCCAACGAGAAGACAATAACACTCACTACTCGTAAAGCCAGCGAGAAGACAATAAAGCTCACGCCGCCCTCGTGAATCATACACCGGCGGTAAAACTCTACAAATCCGATCTCCCAAGAAATGAAAACAATCTCCGCTCAAGGTACATACAGTAACCCTCTGATGGTAGCAATCTATCACAGCCCGGTATGACGATAGCTAGTCCATACCCAAAATCATATCAAACCCAGACATATCCATTACTACAAAAGAAAATGGACGCCGACGATCGGCGACCTCTATATCACAACCCCGACATCCCTGTTTCAAAACCAGCTCACCCCCAACAGGTGACACAACACAAATAGGAGATGCTAACTGTGCCAACTCCAATCCCAAAACAAATGCAAATGTAGAAGAAATAAAGGAATGTGATGCACCCGTATCAATCAACACATTAGCAAATGAGTTACAAAACAAAAAGGTACCTCTCACTACTGATGGAGCTGGTACTAGGTCTGGCGCTGTAACAGCATACACGCGCCCTGTAGGTCTCTGATCCACCTGCTCACCTCTCGGAGCATAAGACTGCTGCACAGACTGAGCTGAAGAGGCTCCTTGATTGGTCCTCGAGGCTTGATGTAGACACCCCATTTTTGACCGACCTTAAGACTCAGACGTCACCGATTGAGCGCTTGGTGATGTTGCATAATGTGCTCGTTCAGAAGTTTTAGAGTCGCGGCCATGAGCCCTGCCTCCGGACTTCCGAACCCTCTTCTGTGCCTTGTCTCGGTTTGCAAACCAGACTCGATTTTCTCTGTTTCTTTTCCTGAGGGGAGGGAGAGGTGATGATTCAATTTATTTGTTGGTGTAGACACCCCATTTTTGACCGACCTTAAGACTCATACGTCACCGATTGAGCGCTTGGTGATATTGCATAATGTGCTCATTCAGAAGTTTCAGAGTCGCGGCCGTGAGCCCTGCCTCCGGACTTCCGAACCCTCTTCTGTGCCTTTGCTCAGACAGCACAACTCTAGAAGCGGGCTTAATGGAGGTAAGTTGGACATCACCAATTTTCTGACAGCAGCATACCCCATAGCTGAGAAAAGCATGCAGATGTAATACGAAATGCTGAGAAGCAAAAATCAGACTGTATAAAAGTGCGCTGTGAATGCGCATGTACAAGTAATGAAGAGCAGAAATGTAAATCA